TGAAAACCACATTCAGCTCATTGTACATCTCCATCAGAGCTCTTGGGTGACCAGGTGCCTTGTCAGTGAGCAGTAATATTTTGAAAGGAATCTTTTCTTCTCAGCAGTAGGTCTCAACAGTGGCCTTAAAATATCCAGTAAACCATGTTATAAGCAGATGTACTGTCATTCAGGCTTTGTTGTTCCATTTCTAGAACACAGGCAGAGTAGATTTAGCATAATTCTTCAGGGCCCGAGGATTGTCAGAATGGCAAAGGAGCACTGGCTTCTACTTAAAGTCACCAGCTGCATTAGTCCCTAATAAGAGAACCAGCCTGTCCTTTGAAGCTTTGAGGCCTGAGAAGCCAGGCATTGACTTCTCTCTAATTGTGAAAGTCCTAGATGACACCTTTTCCCAATAGAAGGCTGTTTCATCTACATTGAAAATCTGTTCTTCAGTTAGCCACTTCATCCATTATTCTAGTTCGATCTTCTGGATCACTGGCTGCAGCTTCTCCATCAGCACTTGCTGCTTCACCTTGCACTTTGATGTCATGGAGTCGGCTTCTTTCCTTAAACCTCATGAACCACCCTCTGCTAGCTTCAGACTTTTCTCCTGCAGCTTCCTCACCTCCTCTCAGCCTTCCCAGAACTGAAGAGAGTCAGGGCCTGGCTCTGGATTCGGCTTTGGCTTAGGGGAGTGTTGTGGTTCCTTTGATCTTCTATCCAGACCACTCAAACTTTCTCCAACTCAGCAATAAGGCTATTTTGCTTTCTTATCACTGGTGTGTTCACTGGGTTAATGCTTTTAACTCCTTCAAGAACTTTTCCTTTGCATTCACAGAATGGCTTACTATTTGGCACAAGAGGCCTAGCTTTCAGCCTATCATGGCTTTCAACACACCTTCCTCCCTAGCTTAATTATTCCTAGCTTTTGATTTAAAGTGTGAGACCTGGGGCGCCTGGGTGGCTCAGTCGGTTGGGCGACTGCCTTCGGCTCAGGTCAAGGTCCTGGAGTCCCGGGATCGAGTTCCGCATCGGGCTCCCTGCTCGGCGGGGAGTCTGCTTCTCCCTCTGACCCTCTTCCCTCTCGTGCTCTCTCTCATTCTCTCTCTCTCAAAGAAATAAAATCTTTAAAAATAAAATAAAATAAAATAAAGTGTGAGACCTGTGCCTCTTCCTTTCACTTGAACACTTGGAGACCATTGTAGATTAGTAATTGGCTTAGTTTCAATATTGTTGTGTCTCAGGGACTATGGAGGCCTGAGGGGAGGGAGAGAGACAGGAAATGACAGGTAGGTTAAGCAGTCAGAGCACACAACGTTTGTCAATTAAGGTTCTATGTCTCATATAGGCAGTTCGTGATGCCCTAAAACAATTACAACGGTAACATCAGAGATCACTAATTACAGATTGTCATAACAAATACAATGATAACAAAAACGTTTGAAATATTATGAGAATTATCCACATGTGACACAAAGATAGAAAGTGAGCAAATACTGCTGGAAACATGGCCCCGAGAGACTTGTTTGATGAGGCGTGCCCATAGTAGTCAGTTGCAGATTCTCCTATTGAACACTAGATGGCACTCTGATCTTTTGTTTGAAAAAATGAATGCCTGTTTCTACCTCTAAACCCCGTTTTTTAAAAATTATCTTTTGTCTGGTTAAATCTTAGGGTTTAAAAAACAAGCTGTCAGGGGCACCTGGGTGGCTCAGTCGGTTAAGCGACTGCCTTCAGCTCAGGTCATGATCCTGGAGTCCCAGGATCGAGTCCCACATCGGGCTCCCTGCTCGGCAGGGAGTCTGCTTCTCCCTCTGATCCTACCCCCTCTCATGTGCTCACTCTCTCTCTCACTCTCTCTCTCAAATAAATAAATCTTTAAAAAAAATAATAAAAAAATAAAAAATAAAAAACAAGCTGTCAGCCTGAAGTTTTCCTTTAAACCACCTTTTTAGACTTACGCAGATTCAACAATGGTTAAATGTCAAAACAAAAGCTATTCTAACTTATTTTTTAAAAATCTGCTAAGCAGGGGCACCTGGGTGGCTCAGTCAGTTGAGCGGCTGCTTTTGGCTCGGGTCCTGATCCCAGGGTGTTGGGATCCAGCCCCGCGTTGGGCTCCCTGCTCAGTGGACAGTCTGCTTCTCCCTCTGCCTCTCCCTCTCCCTGCCTCTCTGCCTACTTGTGCTCTCTCTCTCTATCTCTCTGTCAAATAAATAAATAAAATCTTAAAAAAAAAATCTGCTAAGCAATTTCTTATGAGTTAGCTGGTATTTGCTGGTTATCAAAAGAATTTTATTAATTTTGAGAAGCATGTAATTAATTTTATCTCTGAAAACATGGAACTTGGGAAAAGGGCTGAAAATTGTTTTAACATTTTTTCCTAACCTTCACAAAAGATAAACTCTCACCTTTTACAATAAGAGTAGCAAATATTTTATGATTTACTATGATTATCCGCAGAAACTTCAAAGTATTCAATAATTTAGAAGAAGTCTGAAATATACCAAAACAAAACTGTATCAAGGAAAAACATTTAGAACATGCTCTAAAAAGCAAAGTGTTGCTAGTGGTTCGGTTATTTTTTTAAAAAGTATTTTTAAAATATTTCTTATACAGAGGAAGACTCACATTATATTAACCTTTTTTTAAAAACAGATTTCATTTATTTATTTTGAGAGAGAGAGCAGAGCGAGAGGGAGAGAGCATGAGCTGGGGGGATGGGCAGGGGGAGAGGGAGAAGCAGACTCCCTGCTGAGCAGTGAGCCAGATGTGGGGCTCAGGGCTCAATCCCAGGACCCTGAGATCATGACCTGAGCTGAAGGCAGACACTTAACTGACTGAGCCACCCAGACCTCCCTATATTAACTTTTATTTTCTTCTCGAACCAATCTCCCAGTTTACCAGCTTTGTAAATGGCTCCAGTCCCCCTAGCTTAATTATTCCTAGCTTTTGATTTAAAGTGTGAGACCTGTGCCTCTTCCTTTCACTTGAACACTTGGAGACCATTGTAGATTAGTAATTGGCTTAGTTTCAATATTGTTGTGTCTCAG